TCTGTGGCTGCATTTATACACAAAAACAGGTTTTTGTTGGCTGGGCACAGTGGCTCACACCTGTAATCCCAGCACTTTAGGAGGCTGAGGAAGGTGGATCACTTGAGGTCAGGAGTTCGAGACCAGCCTTATCAGCATGGTGTAACCCCGTCTCTACTAAAAATACAAAATTAGCTGAGTATGGTGGCACAGGCCTGTAATCTCAGCTACTTGGGAGGCCGAGGCAAGAGAATCGCTTGATCCAGGAGACAGATGCTGCAGTGAGCTGAGATCATGCCATTGCACTCCAGCCTGGGCAAAAAGAATGAAACAGTCTCAAAAAATAAATACATAAATAAAAACAACAGGCTTTGTTATTTACTACTTGTACTAGCTACTAATACATTGAATGTAATAAAATGTTTGGGAAGAAAAATGCTTTAAAAATGACTTGTTTTCACCTGTTTGTGTGTGAAGTGGGAGGAGGTGGCAAAGCTATAGGCCCCAAATGTGTTGATATATAATTATCTTCATTCTCTTGGTTCAAAAGTATTAACCATGTGATATTTAGATTATTACCTCGGTCTACCTTAACCAGATGAAACCTTGTCTCATCCCTCAGGTGAAAACAATTATTGAGTGAGAAGGATTTAAATATAAATTCCTGGCATTTTCTCTACCTTGGGCCTGTAGAAACCTTGTCTATAATTGCCTTTTCATTTTCCAGCACCTATGTCTCAGTTGTCCATCATGGATCAAGTAAATCTTGAAGAATCTTTCCTCACCTGATCTTGACTGATTAGTGAGAGAGCAAAGATAATAAAACTTGCAATATCAATTTGCGTCATAATCTGGAGCCAGACTTCATGTTGAAGGACAATGAAATTATAAAACATTTTGACTGGTTCTGTTGAAAATAATAATTCAGCAACTGTAGCCATAGCTTACTCAATGGTTCAAGAAAGCTGGAGCAGCAATTATGTGACTGATTAGGAATTTAGGTAAATACCTGAGAGTGTAGTGTTTTCTTCCAAGAAGCTGGAAAGATGAGACTGGATCTGCTGTTGCCCTCCTCATAGTAAGCCAGGACTGGCAATGTCAGGGGAGCTGCAGACTACACACCTAACACTAGTCACTCTCCAACTTCTTCCTAACTTGCCTTGCCCTTTCTCCAGAGCAAATGAATTGACTTTTGATTTCCCAAGGACTTCATCTCTGCGTCTTTCTGCTCCTTTCCGTGTATTTGACCCCTGTACACTGTGGGAGTTGTGAAGGTGGAATCACAATGTATTCGTCCCTCTCTGTGTAGCCTAGAATCCAACATTCTGGAGACTCCCGACAAGAGGATGAAGAAAGCAACGATAATAATTTTTTAAAATCACAACACTTCATCAATTTCTATCAAAGATTGAGTCAATAGAAGTAGTCCAGGTGTTCCCAAATTAAGGAACAAACCTAGGCATGTCAGAGACCCCAACAGAAAATAATAAACTTAATTTTATGAATTCAACCATTTTATATCAGTAGAAACAATTTTAAATGTCATGCAGCATTTAATCAGAAGGCAGCAAATTGTGACAAAAAGACAAATTATTAGAGGGCAGAGAATTAGGGGAAGGGATGGGATAGGATGGAATGGAAAAAGATCAGAACAAAAACAGTTACCAGGAAATCAGGTCCATTTCTCCTCGTCATTTATATTGGTCTTTTGCTCTGTGAGATAAATGACACATTTACTTCTAACTCATAGATTAGATTGTATCTTGGAGATGTTCAATTTTGATTTTAGTTTTCTTGATGATCAGTTCCTGAGTGTGATGCAGGGGACATAATCAGAAAAATCCAATGTGTAGGCACTTGGCTCCACTGAGCTATGGCCACACAAAGATTCAGAACTAGAGGTCAAAGGATGCAAGTGTCTCTTTCAAAACACAGATAAGCCCACAGGTTCCCCACCAAAGGTCCCAACTAATAGCCTAAACTGGTCACTCCAAAGAGTTTATAGTTTTTAGACCATTTTATCTTATACTCCAAACAATTTCCTGATTCCACGCCTTTGTAGCAGATGCCCAATCTGACTACAATGTCCCCATGCCCTCCTACAGCTAGTTCTTTCTTATGATTCAATTCAAACATCATGTTCTCTGAGTGGTCTTCCCCAAACATTCTGTCTAATATTAAACGGCTGCTCTTCAAACCCTTTCTTTCAGTGGCCATGCTCTGGTTAGTTTGTCTGTGGTTCTCATTAGTAACAGAAACTATTTTACTTGTGGATATGTACTACTTGTCATTTCCCACTGGAATATAAGCCCCAGGAAAACAGGGATTCTGTCCTAGTCATCATTATATCAGTACTGATGCACAGAGGCAACCAATACATATGGGTTGGATAGATGGATGGATGGATGGATCTGTATAGAACCTCAGATCTAGTTTTTTGCTTATCTGTTTGCTTTGCCAAGAGTAGGACCACCCTTTGCATCAGTCTTGTTTACTCTCAGTATATTATCACTTAAGTGAATTTTGTTTAAACACAGTAAGACAGTCAATGTGGAATACACAAGCTCTCCTTGGGAATTCATGAAACAGAAAATAGCAAAAGGGAGACACAGGTGCTGGCCTCAGACGAATTTCTGAATGGGAGTATGTAGGTAACACTATATCTTAGGTATAAGAAGGAGATAAAGTTGAAATGCGAAACCAGTGTGTGAATGGAGGCCCTACAAGAATTGCTGAACATCAGAGCCCCTAAAGCTATTCAACAGGAGGTCACACTTCTATCTTGGTTTTACATGCTTGTAAAGGAAATTTCTAGATAAAAGCAGCTTTCACACAAAAGCATGAAGAATCTGTGTTGCTGGAGTCTGAGTAATGTTTTGTTAAATTTTGAGTAGTTTAATGTCAAGACAAAAACTCAATGAGATTAATAGCTGAAAATGGATGGTGGGGGGGAATATCAAACTAGATAATGAAGCTGAATCATGTTTAGCCAAAGGTAACGGGGGTAAGAGGATTTATGATCTTGTTTCTCAATATTACAATTATTAAAAAGAAAAAAAAAACTACTAGTTATTTTTACTATCACCTAAACAATTAAATATCCCAATTCCAGACTAGTTTATATTCTGAAACTTGTTCAGAGAAAACTCTAACATCAATAGATGTTACTCACCAGAGGCTGATTAATGAAAGAAGAGCTGTGGCATTGGCTGGGAGAGGACGTTGTTCTGCAGTTAGGGCACAAATGATCTTTCACTCTTCTGGATGCAGATTATTTACTTTGGCCATATTTGGAATAACTTGATATATGACAAGATTTATGAAACTTGGACAAAACTTCCAAAGTATATACAAGTGCTGCTGACAATATGGGATCTTTCAGTACAGTCTGCATAGAAACAAAGCCACACATTTCCGCAGTGCAACCAAAGCTGTGTTAAAATTTTCCTATAAGCACAATCTTTTCTCATGTTAGCCCCCATCTTCTTAAATCACTTTCCATTAAAGCTGGGTATTAGCCAATATTACTGGATGGTATGAATGTCTAGACCACAACGGTAGCTCTGTGTACACATGCATATACACAGATATGCATATATACATATACTTAGGAATATATACAGAATAAATGCAAAATAAGGTTGGCAAGTAGAAAATTTGGTCACACCAAGTCTTAGTCTTCGCAGCATATAAATATAAAAGTTTGGCTTTTTAAACTAAATTGAATTGGTTTTCAAACTAAATTCAGAGAGTTGATTTTTATCTTTGAAGACAGAGCCATTTTGCCCAACATAACCTTTAGGACTTAACTTTTGGCACTTCTTCCAACTTATTTTGTGGGTGTGTGTCTAAGAGTAAGCCTTCACTTAATTTTATTTTTTTTTTATTTTACTTTAAGTTCTTGGATACATGTGCTGAACATGCAGGTTTGTTACGAAGGTATACATGTGCCATGGTGGTTTGCTGCGCCTATCAAACGGTCATCTAGGTTTTAAGCCCTACATGCATTAGATATTTGTCCTAACGCTCTCCTTCCCCTTTCCCCCTAGCCCTCAACAGGGTTATATTCCCCTCCCTGGGTTTGTTTGTTCCCATTGTTCAACTCCCACTTGTGAGTGAGAAAATGCTCACTCATATTTGGTTTTCTGTTCTTGTGTTAGTTTGCTGAGAATTATGGTTTCCAGCTTCAACCATGTCCCTGCAAAGAACAGGAACTTTTCTTTTTTATGCCTGCATAGTATTCCATGGTGTATATGTACCACATTTTCTTTATCCAGTCTATCATTAATGGGCTTTTTGGTTGGTTCCAAGTCTTTGCTCTTGTGAACAGTGCTGCAATAAACATACATTTCCATGTGTCTTTATAGCAGACTGATATATAATCCTTTGGGTGTATATCCAGTAATGGGATTGCTGGGCCAAATGGTATTTTTGGTTCTAGATCCTTGAGGAATCGCCACATTGTCTTCCACAATGGTTGAACTAATTTGCACTCCCACCAAAGTGTAAAAGCGTTCCTATTTCTCCACATCCTCTCCAGCATCTGTTGTTTCCTGACATTTTAATGATCGCCATTCTAACTGGCGTGAGATGGTATCTCATTGTCGTTTTGATTTGCATTTCTCTAATGACCAGTGATGTTGAGCTTTTATTCATGTTTGGCCGCATAAATGTTTTCTTCTGAGAAGTGTCTGTTCATATCCTTTGCCCACTTTTTGTTGGGGTTGTTTTCTTCTCAGGAATTTATTTAAGTTCCCTGAAGATTTTGGATACTACACCTTTGTCAGATGGATAGATTGCAACAATTTTCTGCCATTCTCTAGATCTGCCAACCTATTTTTATATAAATCTAAGTTCTTGAATTTGTTGTTGTTATTTTGAGTATTGACCTAATTTTCCATTTATCTTGACAAGCAGTCTCTATGTCTGTGATGTCTATGTATGTATGTATTAGTTGCTTAAAAAACAGAAACCCCTGGTGTCAATGTGGAGGAGACTTAGGTAAAGTTGGGAGTGCAGTGGTGGCAGCAGCAGTGTGGTAGGGCCAGTATTCTACATTGTAAATACTGTTATTTGTGTGTACTGTAAATGATGATGTTGGTGGGCACTAACCAAGCCCGGGGAAACTGGGAACAATCTCAAAACTAAAACCAGACACAGCACGATCAGTGGCCACAGGCCACTGCAGAACAAATTCAATTTGCACAGAAGATTTTGGACCATAGTGATGCTGACTTTGAGGAGAAGGTGAAACGAGTGATTGATAGTACAGGCAAGAACCAGGATGAATGTGTGATTGCTTTGCATGACTGCAATGGAGAGGCCAACAGAGCCATCAATGTTCTTCTGGAAGGAAACACAGACACACATTCTTGCGAGATGGTCAGAAAGAAAAAGGGAGTCTCAGGCCAGAAGGATGGTGGCCAGATGGCATCCAATGAGGAAGGCAAAGAAAACTGAGACTATAGTCAGCAATGTGGTGGGCCACCAAGATAGGGGAGAGGAACCAACCATGGATGAGAGTTTTGAGGTCAGGAAAATAGATTGGATGACACCAAGAGTGGAGGGCCTTCTGGAAGAGGAACAGAAAGAAGCAGAAGGGACTGTGGCTCTGGTATGTGAGGCGGAAGGTTTTCTGCTCAAGGAATGGGAACCTTTAACCCAGCTGATTATGCAGAGCCAGCCAATACTGGTGATAACTATGGCAATAGTAGTGCCAATAGGTGGAAGAACACTGGCCACTTTGAAACAGATAATGGGACAAGACTTGATTTCATTGGGGTTGAGGGGTCAAATTATCCCCCAAAATTTGAGGCTGCTCCTGATGCATGGAGGACTGCAACTGAGGAGTGAGGGACTAAAGACTAGAATGAAGATCTTTCTGAGACCAAGATCTTCACTGCCTCTAATGTATCTTCAGTGCCTCTGCCTGCAGAGAATCTGACAATCACTGCTGGTCAGAGAATTGACCTTGCTATTCTGCTGGCAAAGACACCAACTACAATGGAGAATGAATCATCTAATTCAGATCCATCTCAAGCACCTTCTGTGGCCCCACCTCTGGTGTTCAGTAATTAAAAGCAGACTGCCATATCACAGCCTGCTTCAGGGAACACATTTTCTCATCACAGTATTGTGAGCATGTTTGGGAAAGGATTTGGTGATGTCAGTGAAGCTAAAGTCTGCAGCACTACAGGCTCTCGGTTCTTGGAGCAATTCAAAGCTGCTCAAGCTCTGGCTCAGTTGACTCCTCAGCATTCTCAGTCTCTAAGCACCATCACCTCCTCTTGGGACATGGGCTCGATGACACAATCCCCATCACTGGTGCAGTATGATTTGAAGAACCCAAGTAATTTTTCTGAGATACATGCGCTGAACATGCAGGTTTGTTATATAAGTGTACCTGTGCCATGGTAGTTTTCTGCACCTATCAAATGGTCATCTAGGTTTTAAGCCCCCCATACTTAAGCAATGCACAGCCCCTTGACAAAGCACCAGCCTTTTACCCCATCTTCAACCACGATGGAGGTGTTCCTTCAGGAGAAGTCACCTGTAGTGGCCACCTCCACAGCTGCACCTCCACCTCCACAGCTGCACCTCCATCTCCGTCTTCTCTTCTACCAAGCAAATCCACGTCGGCTCCACAGATGTCACGTGGATCTTCAGGTAACCAGTCCTATAGCCCTCACCTGGCTCAACAGAAACTGAAACAGTAGAAGAAAAAGGGCTCTTTGACTTCTAAGATTCCTGCTCTGGCTGTGGAGATGCCTGCCTCAGCAGATATCTCAGGGCTAAACCTGCAGTTTGGGACATTGCAGTTTGGGTCAGACTCTGTCCTTTCTGATTATGAGTCCACCCTCACCACGAGCACCTCTTCAAGCCAGGCTCTAAGTAGCCTGTATACCAGCACAACCAGTGGATCTTCATCTACAGTTTCATCTAGCCAGAGTCAGGAGTCTGGTTATCAGGGCATCCCAATTCAGTCGACAACCTATACTTCCCAAAATAATGCTCAGGGTTCTCTTTATGAACAGAGATCCACACAGACTTGGTGGTGCCCCAGCTCCACCTATTCATCACCCCAAAAGGACCTGACTCAAGCAAAGAATGGCTTCAGTTCTGTGCAGTCCACGCAGTTATAGACCACAGGTTGAAGGTGCTACAGGCTCTGCAGTGAAATCTGATTCACTTTCCACTTCCAGCATCCCCCATCTCAAACAGTATCTGCAGTTTCGTTACTGATGACAGTCAATCAGCACTCATCCTCCTTGGGTGGCCTGAGCCACAGTGAGGAGATTCCAAATGCTAACACCGCACAACACAGCAGCACATTGCCTACGCAGCAGAATACCCTTTCATCATCAACATCTTCTGGGCACACTTCAACATCCACTCTTTTGCACACAAATATAGAGGGTGAAGCGAATCTCCATTCTTCCTCCAGCACTTTTTTACCACATGTGCACCTCCCCTAGTGGTCAGTGTCTCCTCCAGTCTCAATAGTGGCAGCAGCCTGGGCCTCAGCCTAGGCAGCAACTCCACTGTCACAGCCTCAACTCGAAGCTCAGTTGCTACGACTTCAGGAAAAGCTCCTCCCAGCCTCATTCCTGGTGTTCCACTGTTGTTGTCTAATCTGTATATTATGGCTCCAGGGCTGTTCCATGCCTCCCCACAACAAGTATATGGTTATGATGACTTTCAGATGCTTCAGAAAAGATTTCCATTGGATTACTACAGCATCCCATTTCCCACACCCACTACTCTACTGACTGGGAGGGATGGCAGCCTGGCCAGGAACCCTTATTCTGGTGACTTCACGAAGTTCAGTCATGGGGATGCCTCTTCCCCAGACCCGGGCAGAACCTTGGCCCAACCTCAGCAGGACCAAATGCAGACTCACAACACCTTGCAGCAGACGTTCCTGAACCCAGCGCTGCCTCCTGGCTGCAGTTAGACCAGCCTGCCATACTATACAGGAGTCCCAGGTCTCCCTAGCACCTTCCAGTTTGGGCCTACTGTGTTCCCTGTGGCTCCTACCTCTTCCAAGCAGCATGGTGTGAATGTCAGTGTGAACGCATTGTCTCCCTGCTTTCCAACAGCCAAGTGGATATGGGTCTCATAGATACAACATTGGTGTTTCGTTACCTCCAGTACATGGACATGCCAGATATCTCAGGTTCTGTGTGCTCCAAAACCCAGCAGTCCTTTGAAAAACAAGATTTTCATTCCAATACTTCTGCTGCTTCCTACAACATTTCTTCAGCCCTAGGAAGTGGGGATACCATCAATCCAGCTACAGCTGCTGCCTACCCACCTGACCCCTTTATGCACATTCTGACCCCACATCAGCAGCTGTACTCTCAGATCCTTCACCATCACCTGCAGCAGGTTGGCCAGATGGGCAGTGAGCAATGTAGCCAGACCAGCTCCATCCCACAGAAGCCCCAGACCAATAAGTCTGCCTGCAACAGCTACAGCTGGGGGCCAACTGAGGCCCTGACCCTCTTCTCCCTGTCCCACCTTCTGAGAGGCTTCTCAGCCTGGAAGCTATGGAAACAGCACCAAGGAAAAAAGAATGTGGGGTGTTTCTGTGCTCCCCACCCCCTGCAGCCCACCCTATGCCTCAGCTTCATGTTTGACCCATTCCTATACCGTCCCCACGATGTTGTGTGTGTTATAGGATTTGTATTTTCTCCTTTCTCCCTCCCTTCCCTTCCTTCTCCCCTCTTGCATTCAAGATTATGAAACTGCTGTGGGTCCTGCCCTTCCTTTGCTTCCTTCTGTTCACCCTGGTGGTGTATGAATGAGGTGGGGAGGTGGGACCCCCTAATATATATCCGTCCAACAGCCCTAAGTCTCCTTCTTTATTACTAGGAAAACAGCAAAATGGTGTTATGAATATGAACAGCATTGCCACATGAATTCGTTGAGGTATTTTTTTTTGTACTGTGTCCTCAAATTTAATGGATTAATGTGTCTTGTGTGTATGTATGTATATATATATATATATACCTCTAAATAAATAAATAAAAAGAAAACAGAAACCATGTCCATTCCAGATCATATATTTCCATAGTTTTCAGCATAACCACCTTTCAGGAGCACATACAATGTTAGTTAAATACAGTTATGCCACCTTTCATTTTAACTGCTTCTAAGTTTTACTTAAAAACAAATTAATAGATCTATTGTTTATTACTATCATCATGTGTGAATATGCTGTTCTCATTTTATATAAATACCTTGTTGAGACATATTTTTGTCATTCATAATCAATACTCAATGAAAAAGTTAGGTTTAATAATATGCCTCATTTGAAGTAAAATAATTATGTTTTTATGAGTAATGTTATGTTTTATAAATATCAACTTTCTAAAACCCAAATTATAACACCTAATTGAAATTTTATAGGCTAAGTAAAAATTCCAGCAGTCATATAAATGACTCCCCAATTTCTAATTATTCCATAATGTTTTTCCAAACTGAATGGAGAAGTTGTTTGCAATTCATAAGCTGAATCAATTCTGTGATGGAATGTTCAGCTCAAATTTTAAACATAACTCTTGTCAGCAGTCACAATGTTTACCCTGTATACAAAATAATACGAAATCCCTGAGAATGTATGTCTACATTTAATATTTTTCTTCTTTCATACCTATGTTCTGTCTATTCGTACGTAGCTATTTAACAGTTATCCAAGGGAAAAGAATTAATATTTACCTAGCACCTATTTTGTTCTTATATTACCTTTCTCACTTAATCCTTACAACAGCTCTGTGAAGTTCTTATCCTCTTTTCACAGATGATAAAACTGAGGCATAGAAAAGTTAATTTGTCTAAAGTTAGGTAAACAGAAAGTGGCATAAACCAGAATTTAAATGTATAATTAAGGAAAAAAAACTATCCTTATAATCTTGGATTGTAAACATCCAATTTACAGTATCCTATAAAGTGTTTACCACAGATCCTTTTACAATGTCAAAAGGAATCATAAACTTAATAATTTCTGATAAAAAGAATGCTTTTGACATTATCATTTTTTTTCATTTACTGACCTTAGCACTTTAACATTTACTATGGGGTTTGCAAATTCATAGGGAGTGAAATTAGGCCATGGAAAAATTAATCCAATAAAGTGTTAAATCAGACAATTCCCTCGGGAAGGAAAAGTCACTACTAATCTAAGGTATAATGTGCTCCAACAGAAATAAGAGCCACCACAGAAAAGCTCCTTTAGTACCGCAGAGCCACACCTGCCCAAGATTTGATGAAGAAGGCAGAGCAGGGGTGGGAGAAACAAAGGTAAAGCCTACTGGACAAGGCCTCTTCAAGAGACCAGCCTCTTTTGCTGACTAAGACCTCAAATTGCTACCTGGTCACTCCATTCCTTCATGGTGGGAAAGCAGCTTCACATGGTGTGTAGGGATGAGGTCTCTGGAGCCAGGCTGCTTGCATCTGAATTTTGATTGGTCACTTAATATTTGTATGACCTCAAGCAATTCATTTAACAAATGCCTTAGATTCCTTGTCTGTGAAATGGCCATGAAATAAATCAGTATGTATGGAATGTGAAGAATGGAGCATGCCACATAAGAAACTTTCATAACTGATACGTATTACTTTTATTAAAACATCTTTTCATCACCACTAATACCAGGCCATTTGCTTCATTTCCTCTGGTAACTTCATCTTTGAAGAAAAAAAGGCAAAACAACTTCCCCACTTCCCCATGAGTCTGCACCTCAAGAAAGTTAGTTTTCTCTTTTTTTGCACTCAGAAAATGATTTGGTTCCAATGCAAGGAAAGTTTTTTTTAGACAAACCTACTACATCTTTAAGAAGAAAAAAGGGTAGACCAGTTAGATATTACATCAGGATCTAGTCTTAGTAATTGTATTCATGTATCTACCCTTTAATTCTAACATCAATAGTAAGGTCAAAATTTGCCATTAATATACACCACCTTGACAAAATTAGAAATTAGATTCTCTCTCTAAAAGCTAAGCAAGTTTCTATCAAACAAGGAAAGCTATGTTAAAATAAAATCATTCTTATGGATCCTGGAAAGAAAATAAAACATCCCCCAAAATCAACAAATAAAAACAAATAAAAATCATCATTCATATATGTGTGTGTGTGTATATATATATATATATATATATATTTATATATATGTATTTATGTAGAAACACACATGAGTATTAGAAGAATCTATGACACTTTTAATATAAGTCTTTAGGATAGGATTAAAATGTTACTCTTTTGACGTTTTAGGTATTACTACACATGGTAAGAAAATATTCAAGAATTTGGTTTGAAAAATGCCCAGGTGTTAATGTGCTGGTTCAGTCAAGCATGCCCTGGAGACCTAACCTTCCCCCCACCACCCCAGGGATGAGATACTGTTCTGGTCTAATGGGTACCGCCATTAATGTGACCTTTACAGAGGTGGCCTGAATGAGTTATCACTAAAATGCTCTTGGAATGAAAAGCACCACATCAGTACTTATTGTGCTTTGCATTTTTTATGATTCAAATCTTTTACAAGAGATGAGCAGCTCCTAAAGATATTGGAAGAGTGGTTTATAAATAGGAAGTGGCCATAGTTGAAATTCATTGGTTTCTGAAGAGCTGTAATTGCTACATGAATATTTTTATCTCGGAAATGTTAATAGAAACATTCACTAAATATCAGAAAAAAGGCAAGACTATAAATAACAATGCTACTTAAGGAGTGTAGAGTTATTTTTAGAAAACTTGAAGGTAGAATTTTGTTTCCTTCCTATAGGAAGGCTAATAAAACTCTCTCTCAGAATACAGCACCATTGCTTATGACATCTGTGTCCATGTGCTGCTCCAACAGCAATGGCCACTGATGCCTCCATCTTGGCATGGGGTATCCCACGATGGCTGCCATTTTGTGTTTCTTCCCGTATATGAACAGGCCAGCAGCCTACGTACAGCTGTTTTTATCAGCTATAAAAGATAATTTTGCTGTATTAATGCCATAAATTTGATAGAGCCAGCGAGACTTCTACAGCATAATGGCTTAATTTTTCATTCTAATAATAACTGCCTGCCAGTTGAAATGAATAGGAGCAAAAACAAACATTCCTGTTCTATAACATGATCCATGACAGATGTACCACTTAGGAGGCCCTGGGAGGGAAGGCCTGTCCCCCTCCAATTCTCCCTATGGCAGTAAAAGCCTGAACACTAGGGAGAAATTCTGACAGTAAAGGAGTTCACGAGAAAGTGGCCTAGCTGTCCTACACTTAAATCCACAACTGGCTGGCGGCCTGATTTAAGATGAGGCACATTTTAGATCTTTACATAGTGCTGTGGTTTATTTCTCAGTCATAGTCTTCTTCAGCTTTGAAGGCTCCCTGGAACATTCTAATCTATTCCCTTCCCTCTTTTTTCTTTTCTCCCCATCCTTCTAACACTATATGCATAAAAAGTGAATAATTCAATTATTCACTTGTTTGTATAGATTTTTTGGTTGACAACTTAAAAGTGTTTCTTTTTAAATGCCAGGACAAATCTTGATACATTTAAGTGAAAATAAGGTCATACAAGTTTGTGCCAACAAGCTACTCAGGCTTTATATAGTTATTGATTTATCTACCTAATGAGACTGAATATCAGCAAATTGTTTTTCATTCTTTATAAGAGACATCACTTTCTGGAAAGAAAATTTAGTGAATTCCAATGCAAATTTACTATTTTGGGAATGCAGTGGGTTTATTTTCATCAATAAATCAACATTTTAATCTACTCTTGTTTTCCACTTTTTTTTAAATGATTTTGATTTTTCATCTAAGAAAGCTCAAAACCTTTTAACTCTTTTCTCCTTCATTAGCTTATCACAATAATTTTTCCTTTCCTTTTTATATATTTTTCTATATTTTCAAGGTTTTCTAAGAAGATATCTTTTGCTTTCTAAATTGCAAGTAGAGAGATTTCTAGATATATAATTTTTAACATACCTTTCAAATTATTTCACAAAATAATGTTATACATGTGGAAATTTACAAAAGAATACCTCAGCATAACTGATAGATGAACTATGCCCAATCCCATTTTATAGGAAAGAGTACTAAGCTGGGAAGAGAATAAAGGATCATGTTTAAATCCATTGTTTTAAACCACCTGTATTACAGGAGAGGCATTTTTTTCCTGATGATTTTGAAAAGTTCATACTTCTCTTCATCCAGTCAGTATTAACGTTAACCACTTGCAATGGTACAATAAAAAGTATTTCCTTAGAAGGTGGTACAAAACACAATTTTCTATGCTTCTTTTTTTGAACTATTTTTTTCCAAAATAATTTCAAACTCACAGAAAAATTGTAAGAACAGTACAAGAAGCTTCTGAATATTCTTTAGCCAGGTTCCAAGTTAACACTTTACAACATTGCTTTATCATTCTAAAGAACTATAGATATTCACATATTTTTTTCTGAATTGCACAAGAGTAGCTGAATACAACATGTCCTTTAACTCCAATACTTTAGTGTTTATTCCTAGAAACAAGTTTTAAATTCAGAAAATTTAACATGGATTTAATACTATTCTCTAATCTACGCTATAGATTTCAATTTCAATTGTTTTAGTAATGTCCTTTATAACAATTTTTCTTCAGTACCAGATGCAATCCAGCATCTCTTTAGTATCCTTTAATCAGGAACAGTTCACCAGACTGACTTAGTATTTCACGTCTTAGAAATCATTAAAGAAATACAGA